CCCCAAAACCCCAAAACCCCAAAACCCCGTGCAAGATAGATACACTATGAATCAGATAAATACAAAAATTAGGATTTTCAAATAAAATAAGTAAATATCATTTTATATTCAGTCAAATCATAAGTATAAAAATGAGCAAATCTTTAAGCTCTAGTTCACTTTTCTTATTATCTTTACAATCTAAACTTCAAATATTGAGATTTCTCATTTTACGAGAGATTAATCTGATTTTTATTTGAATTCTAGGATAAATCTCTGTTTTACCTGAGATTGATCACATTTTGGTTGTTCTTTTTTTCACTTGTCATTCCATACTAGTAAGTTGAAGGTGAGTTGTTATTTGTATTATTATTTGAAATAAAAGAGTTGCCTTTTTTCTATTGACTAGGATTGGATATATTATTATAAGCGTTCATGATGGGTTTTTTGATTATTTTAATTGAGCTAAATCCCTGGAGTATTTCTCCAGCATTATTAGGCTCTTGAACCCCAATGTATCTCTTTCTGTTTACAGATCGATTTTGCTTCATATCAGAGGTGGAGTGATAGTTTAGTAGTGTTTAATTTCCAACGCGACTTCTAGAGTGTGCTTATTATTTAATACTTTCAAGTTAAAACATCATCTTATTTAACTTCTCAATTTATTTTTTATCTGAATCCACTACCGAATGTTTTCTCTTATTATCAATACTCTGATTCGAGAGTGGCTATTCATTATCTCTGCTTTACGAGTTATTAGCTTTATTTTTAAATTTCTCAATGTGATATTAATAATAAGATTGGATTCTCTAGGTTTATTTATTATGTGATCCATTCTATGACTTAATAAATGGTAGATGATAAATGTTATCGGGTGAGATCTCGACCTCGTTAGACTTGTTTTTAACCAGGTTAAGTGGAGTCATTAATGGTAGATTCTACTCCAGCTCATCGATGTCTAGGTCTAAAGGGATAAGTTTGATCTAAAATCCATCGTCTTTGCTTTGGTAGGAGCTGATATTGGTTGATTTCTCAATAATATTGTCAGAATAAGATCGATCTTTTGTTTAGACCTAAGTGAAAGAAGAAAATGCGCGATCACGCTACTAATCGAAAAAGTCAAAATTTTCATTGGAGCCCTAGTCCGCTTCTTAGTTTTAAACTGTTTAGTTATTGTATTGTAATTACTCGTCCACGTCATTTTTACCGCTGATTGATTCACTAGCCTGACCTTTGATCTAAATCGTTAGGTTACTAGAGTGTTTCATATTAGTGCTCTTAGAACAACTAAGGTTAACAGAATCGTTTTAAGAATTTTAAAAGAGTGTATAATCAATTGGCCCCAGACGATTTGGAACCTTGAAGCTTCCATAGTGATTGCTATCTAGATGCTTTCTTGATTTATCCCGGGATCGAGAATCATTTTTGTGTTAATTTATACCATGATATTTTCGCTTCAGAATTTCTTGCAACTTTTTTTAAATAAAAGTCTATGGAGAGGATGTCTAGCAAATGGAACTCAATCTCCCTCGTTGTTGATTGATAAGGGAGATGGAATCCTCAAATTCCTAGACTTCTTCTGTGCTATCCTATGTAACTTATTGTGATTGTACTAAGCTATTTCTTATCATTGATTGTATATTTTAAGATTACAATATCTCTAATACTCTACCAGCAAATCTTTGATATTTGTACTTATTGATAATGAATTTTAATCATACTTTTGAATTCCTGAAACTCAAATCAATTCTGATTCTTGGGGTTTTGGGGTTTTGGGG